CTTCTGCTGTTTCGTTCTTTCATTAAGATGTTTGGTGCAAATCACATGGTCAGTAGTAATGTGATATCATATGATATTAAACGCTCTCGTCGAAGTGTTCTTCATATAAAATCACCACATTCCGTTATACCTTGCAAGAAAATGAGATGCAATCGAAGTCAGCATAAGTTTCAATCAATCAAATCAACCAAATAATACATCTCTGTTGCGTTTTCAGCATTTATTGCAGCGTACGAAAATTTCATTCAGAAGAAAAACAAAAACATCCTATCACATATGTACTAAACAATTTCTGATGAAATACCAGTTTGGTGAATGGCGACACACATTTATAATACATTTCATTCATTATTTCATTTGCAAGAAAAACAAAAATATTCCTATTATAAGCATAATAAACAATTTCTGGTGCAATGCCGGTTTAATGAATCGCATTCAGTTTTTTTGAAATGAGTATTTGAGATGGCATTCGTTTGTTTTTGAATTATTGCAAATGATCAACGATTGAATATTGGTGAGTAATTGAGCTTGCAATCACATGGAGGAAACAAAACGCTAATTACGATCATACGACAGACGCAATCAACGAATTGACAAATGTCATATGGTTGTATTAGTGAGAAATCTATGAACATTGGAAAAATCATGAATGGAAGATTCAGTGAACTGAAAAAATATCGTTGGTGACTTTTAGAATGCACGTATACACCTAAAAACCTGACGAATAGTTAGTTACGTATGCGTCTGAAGGCTCTTCTATGTAAAAGATCATGAATCATCAAAAAAATTTAAGAAAGAATCAAAAATCATGAACTGAGAATGTGGGAAAGGGAAAAATGAAAATTTCAAAATTATCAAATGATCATTTTTATGATAGAGTTCAATGAGCAAAATCATGCGCATTTTTAACAAATAATTTGGATACACTTCACTGGGAGAGTGAATTCATCTAATGCAGGATCCCCATGCTCGGGTGCTCCATTACCCCTCTTCAATGGTCTAGCAGGCCATCAATACCCTCCCCCACCCTCCCGCTACAAAAATAATTTACTGTTTCCGTGCATAACGACAGAAATAATTTCCCAATCCCTTTGACACCCTCAAATTACCCAAAAATGGATAATTTCGCCCTATGGGCACCCCTGATCTAATGCATTTGCATGATATAACTAAGACACTATCATAAAACAATCACATTTTGTCACATAAATCCTCAATTCCGAACGTTAGTTTGAGCAAGACAGATGGACCAAATTATCAATTCTACCAACGCCAGTCACTGTAAAAACCCTGAAAGATAAGAGATAAATTTCTAAAATAAATGAACATTATTTGGTTATAATATCAGGAAATGCATGCAATTCGATGTAACTTAGAATTTTGGAGGTTTTTTATGACTGGCGATTTTTTATAACCGGTTTTTCTATAACTGGCGATTTTTTTATAACTGGCGAACGATTGATCAAGCGTTCCATTGGTGATCTGATCCCATAGGCATGGACATATACGTTAACATGTGTGACATATTAACTGGAATCTTTCAGCTTCGACAGATCAGGGAACATAAACTTCGACATTAATCGGTTTTGAGAAATCCTATTAATCCCCCCATTTGAAGTCTCAAAATGCGTTTTGAAGTAAAAAAGTATAAAAACTGAAGAAAAACAACATGACGACTCATAAAAATAAGAACCACCGTACACCGTATAACTTGAAAACAAACCGAATTCGTTTATTAGGAGTCTTTGTGAGAAGGGAGTTCGACCTTTTGAAAGCCAACCACAGAGCTGCTTTGTAAACTTTTCAGCTGATGTGCACCCCGTCTGAGGTGATATTCAATCAGGAATGAGTCTGTTTTCTTGAATTTTTTCGCATTCTCACGAAACGTCTCTTTGACGTGCGATTGCAACGACGGTTGTTCAGCCGTAGCACGTAAGAATCGCTTGTATAGGGAAAGCACAGACAATTGTATTTTTGAATGTCTAGCACTCATAACGAACTGAATATGTCACTTAAATAAAGACGAGATTAGTGTTAGCCTTTCATGATCGTGGAGTGCAAAAAGCCTAGAAATCTACAACGATTCAGTCATAACATTCAACTCTTCAACTCAATTTCACACACTCCAAAT